TTGAAAAGAAAAAACTGTTACTTTCGCGATTTGCAGTGCGTCTAACACATTTCTAATTAACGCCGACGTCTTTTTATTAGATTCAGTGCGTGGGCGGAAAGCGAAACCTGTTTAATATAGTTCCAATGTTTCATTTACCGGAGAAACTTAATTGCCAGAGCTAGGCAAGTGCGCTTCTTCAATAATTGAGTGATTTACTATTTGATATTTGGCGAGTAGTCCAATGAAATTGATTGACGCAATAACGATGTATGTTTAGGTAATGCTCGCAGTAAACGAAGCAAAGTGAATTTATCGAGTTCTGATGACATGAATATTCATTACTGATCTTTTTGTCATTTTTAAAAGAAATGCTTGTAAAAATTACATATAATATTCGGAAAAATATTTGCCTGAACTGTGCGCCTTTTTCTTGCAGGTTCATCAAATGTTTAACACATTTTTATATGCGAGTAAATATTCTGAGTATAGAACATGAATGTAACATTAATTAATTGCACGAGATTAGGTTGTTTGAGATAAAACGGGTTGACAGTAACATGCGATAATATCCATCCTCTTATTTATTATTAATAATGCGTATTCCGCCTGGGGCATGAAACTCGGTCGAAAATAGAGCACGATGATATGTGCACGTCTATGCGTCGTTATATGTGCGTGTGTACTTTCAGAAACAGGTATGTAAACGTGCAAACGCGTTACATATTGTAACGGGCGCATTTATGCGGACGGGCACAAAATCCTGAAAGCGCAAATTAATTTCTCCCATTCCCTCATTATCGAGGAAAATGCGCAAGAGAGCGAGAGCATAATTTCGCAATTAATATTTACCTTTTTTACCTCTAATTATATTACGATTTTGTTTTGTTCGTATTGCGTAAATTCGCACTCCGATAAACCTCTGATACGCACAGCGTGTATATCTCGCAAAAATTAGCTTGTTCGGTTAGTCGAAAGTGGTTGAAATTGAAAAAAAAAAAAAAAAAGGAAGAACCCCACCAATTGGCGTGTTTTCGTTAATTGAATTTTCGACCGCTTCATTATCAGCGCCAGTTGCTCGCCCGGTTGATATTTTTTCCGATCGCGCTTGCCCGCGCCGTGCTCGCGTTTTTCTTTGTTTTATTTTATTTTATTTTATTTTTTTTCATTGTAAACGAACGCACGCGCGGCAGTAATTAACACATAGAAAGTGGATACGAGTGGAGAATCACAGGAGACCATCAGCAATGAAATAAAGATATACGAGAGAAAATACTCGATACCTCCGCAGTAATCCCGATTTACTCTCTCTCTATTGCGAATTGCATTTAAATATTTAGAATTAATTGTTTTCTTAATCAGAATAATCACACAAAGTTTTTTAAATCTACAAAACAAAAACCTCGTAATCGAGTTTCATGTAATGTTTTCTTAGTGTCAATTTTTAAGCTATAATAAGAAAAGATTCGTTGAGACATTGTCGCGTTTGACAAAGCGCTTGAATTCCCTTTAGTTCTCTTTACCTCGGTTTCAGTTCAATTTTACATTTGAGTTTGATTTTACGTTTTAAATAATATTTGTTACAATAATGTAATAAAGCAATGCTTATTATTCGATATAAAATGAAATTAAATCGTCGCCCAGCGAGCAATCGATGCATATGAATAAAAGAAATCGCGCTATAAGGGGAAATACAGTACGTGTTTTCCCGAATTGAGCAATCACCGTAATGTGTGTTACACTATAGACATTGCACAAATACGATGTTAACGCAATGTTGTGTTACGCCGAAGCGGTGCGAATCGTCCGGCGCGAGGGACGAGCGTCTCGCGAGTTTATTCTTTCTCGACGCGAATCGACATCGATCATTTTTCTCGCTTCACGGTCTCAATTTTTTCTCGTAAAAATCGTATTTTACAAACTGCACGGCATTCGAATGCGCATGGATCGATCATTGCGGAAAAATTATACGCAATATTGCTCAGATAAAATGTTTAAACGTAAATTTGTTCGTCGTACGAACAAGGCTGAACTTGAGAGCGGCTCGTGTCTGCTACTAGTTTCGATCGTAATCGCGCTACGATACGCCACGGTTGTCCGACCATATCAATCACATCAGAAACGGGCCAGTCGATTCCGCGCGTTACCACAATAGTGTTTCCACGGGATTATTGCCACGTTGCCCGTGTGTGCAAATAACACGACGCATTTTGATACACTTTATCGCAACTCGCACGTCCCGCCATAAGCCCGTGTACCTCTCGGTCTTGAGTTGAATAAATAAACAAACTGCCAAAGAATTGATTGGATGCCACATGTCACTTTTAAAACGCGAATATCGCAGCTCTTTCGGATAATTCCTCAGAATCCATTTTAATTTTTCTATTAAATTATTTTCGATTATGATTTAATTCCGCTTAGTCAGTATTATGTATAATTTTCATATAATATAATAATCGCCGCGTGTAAAAAATCGCCATTGGAAAAAAGGACGGAAAAAGGATTTCTATTGAAAAATTTCAAAACTTCGACCAGCCAAGTCCCGTCTACCTTAAATTCTTTACGATACGAAATAACTTATAACAACGTCGTGGGTAAAACACTCCCCTTCCCCTCTCACTCTTTCGCCGCTCGATCGCTGGAATTATTGACGAGCCGCGAATTATATCGGAGGCATGAAAGGGGCGGAAGTCCCGTTGCGAGAAAAAAAGGGAAAGCGCGTATCCGCGGGGAGCGAAAAAAGGCGCGCCCTTAAAAAATAGACGAGCGAAGGCGAGGAGAAAAGGAGGAATAAAACGAAGGTGGGACGAACGCGCGCCGATAGAAACGGCGACTGCTTGATACACCGTGCACATCGGATAAATTTTCAATCGGACAAATTCTGAAAGGGCCGCTACTACATTCCCCTTCCACCCCGTCGCTTCTTGCCGCCCCTTCCGTGCTCCCACAGACGGTCGAGCAAGTTTAAAAATCGATGCAGTCCCGAGGAACCTTCTTCGTCTTCTTTCTCCCGTATTTTCTTTCCTCTCAGTCTCCCTCTTCGTCTCTTCGCGATTTCGGCGGGAGGAAGAAGGGAGAAACCGAGACCACCCTCCCTTTCCTTTTATCGGATCTCCTTTTCTCCTCCTTCTGAATAGGAAAAGAACGTATACACACTGGCCGGAGGTGGCCAGATACGCGTACGGTGGACGACATAAACTACAGCGCGATAAGCGTGCCTTCCCTTTCATCGCTACGAATACGAGTTTCGGTAGACACGATTGGAATTCGAATGTACGTAAAGTCCATTTCTTATCTTTATCTTTATTTTTGTCGAACGAAAAACTGCGCTAATATGACGCATTGTGATTCTTCTCTCGCTCCCTTAGCCGACTGTATTGAATATCAATAATTAATTCACACGGAGTGAACTTGCTGCAAATTAGCAATTGATTTTATCGAATTAAATTTCAACTACACATTCACGGTTATTACCTCGACTGCAGATTGAAAGCAAGCGTATTATTTTTATGGTTCGTTGCCTCGCGGCCAATCTGTATTTTTAATGCTTCCTGGGCGAGCCGTTGCCGGATTTTCAGTTTGATACATCGCATACGCGCCACGAGATCACGAACCGCAGAATTGCAAGTCGAAAATACGTTCCCATTTTTTCTCCGAGCCTTGCTTCGCCCCCTCCCTTCCCGTCTATACATGTGCCCTCCCGCGTACGTGTGCTCTAAGACGGAGCTCGGGGTATTGAATGTGGTTCGGGGCGCCGAAATTTCGAATGCGGGTCACGTAGACGCTAAAACGCCCCCATGATTCAATTCGCATCAGCCATTCCCCCTTCGTTCCCGCTCCTACTTCCACGTCAGCCTTCGTCGTTCCCCTTCAACCTCGAGTACATCGCCGGAAAGCTCGCGAGTTCCACCTTGGCGCGAAGACATTCCCGAGCGTGTCAACCCGTGCGCTACTTACCGCGATTGTCTGTCCTCACCCTTCTCTCTTCCTCTTTCCCCTCTTTCCGCGGCGGGAATTTTTCTTTTACGGCCTTTCGCGGGAATGCAATTTCTATTTTAGGAGCCGATCGAATGCATTTAGGCGTCGCGCCGGGCGGGTGAGCGAAGTCGAAGTGATGGTGTGCGCGAGAGGACTCACTTCACTCTCGAGGATCGATATGCGGCAACTCGGACTCGTAAACTATCGCGTATCTACACGCGCGCGGCCCTGACACTTTGAAGCCTCTCGGAGAGAAGAGGCTTGGAAACAATGGTCAGGCGCGCGTGGACGATGCGGAGTAACTTGATCCGTGAGGCAATAACAAAAATAAAAGCATCGATCGATAAATTCACTTTTGTCTTTCATATAAATTCAAGAAAAGTAATCGATATTGCGATAAAAAAATATAAAATAAAAATTCTGTTAGAATAAAATGTATTTTGAACGAAACGGTTGAATAAAATGGAATAATGTTTCATTGTCTATTCGCGCTTTTCAAACTTAATTAACGAAAAGCTCTTCAAATTTCAATGGCTTGTATTTGAAAAATGGTTAGTGACTTGATATTCAGCTAATAGAAATTATATGAAAGAATAATACTGTAAGTTCTTATATTCCATCAATTATTATAATTCCATCATTATATATAATTAATAATTATATATAATATCTAAATAATTATTATAATTGTTATTATTTATAGTAATCTTTTATACATATACGTATGTATATACAGTGTTCCAGATCAACTGTATCATGCGTTAATAGCAAATTTCTGAAGTTATTTGGAAACAAAAATCATCATACCAAAATGTTGAAGCTACAATAATTTTTAAATGCGATATATTTAAAATTGACCGAACAGATTGTCAGAAATTCATGCGCGCAGGCATCGCATATTAATTTTTATATCCTCACCAAATGAGAAATTAATTATTAGTTAACAGGTAATACGGTTAGTTCGACACTTTGTACATTTTAGTATTTAGTATTCGATCTATTTTTTTAATGATATTAAAATAAAATAATTTAGACTGACTTACCGGCATGATGCGTAGCAGCGGAGTTGTTCACAAGTTGATCTGTAAAACACAAAGTATGTACATCAAAATTATAGCAGCGTTTAAAATTATTATTTGACAAATAATTATGCACATTAAACTTTTATTCATCTTTTTTTTATGCAAATATCTAATAAGAAAAATATATATTTATATCTAATAATCATAAATATTTAAAATTGCAAATCTTTTATTGAATATTTTAGAGTTTCTATGTGCATTACATAATATTTTACGTACAAAGTTTGCAAATAATAGATAACAAATAAATAATTACTTACTCTAAAGTTGTTCTACCGGTGCCTGATGCTCTTCCTGAGCCTCCTCCTCCTCTCAGTCCTCGCAGTCCTTCAAGCACTCACACACGTTCGCGGCGCAAATTCGAAAACCGTCCGATGTTTTAAACCGACGCGTACTTTGTCATTCGGACAAAGTAAAACTCGAATATCATCGCATGGAATATACGTTCGACACGTTTCGCAATAACGACGGAAAAGGATGAGATCGAAAAAATGGGAAATAGTAAGGGTAATATTATTGGAGAGGATAACACGCCGATACAGGACGCAATCTATTCCGTACAAGTACTGGCGTGCGAATGATAAAGGAACAGTAGACATCAAAGACAAAGTCGCGTCAATTCTGATTTGGAATGCGGAGAAAAAACAATAATACGCGTGCGAGTAGACAGGACACAGGTGTGTGAGAGAAAGAAAGAGGGGATATGGAACGCGCAGGTTAAGCGCGACGATGGGTGAGTTCCACTTGGCGATCGCAACGCTCCTAGAATCATTTTATCCTCGTTTAACTTTCGATGAAAAACAAGGATAAAATGATCCTAGGAGCGTTGTGATCGCCAAATGGAACTCACCCGATGTAAATAATTCCACCACACGCCGCAAGTCGGCCTAGAAACTTTCAACACTAGAGTATTTATCAAATATTTATCAAAATCGAGTTTAAACTCAATTTTATCTTGATTTAGATAAATGTTAGATAAATGCTCTATCAAGACCGACTCAATGGGGTTGTTTTCGTCGCCCTTAGTCTGTGTGATCTATATCCCCCCTCTTTTTCTCTTTCTTGCGTTATGTATCGGTATTGTTGTACTATATTCTTTACATTCTCCCAAATCGGAATCGGTACGACTTTTTCCTTTATATGTTTATCGCACCCTTATTATTTGCACGACACCTTGTGCGGAGTAGATTCCGTTTGGCAAGTTACCCTCTCCAATAGTTCTATCCTTATTATTTCCTGTAGTTTTCGATCTCATTCTTTCCGCTATTACTTGTTACGAACACGACTATGTCGTATTTATAATCCGTGCGATAATATTCCAATTTTACTTCATCCGAATTATAAAGTACGCGTCGGGAGTGCAATTTAAAACATCGAGCGATTTTCATATTCGTGTCGTGAATGAGTGAGTATCTTGAAGGATTGCAAGGAAAAAAAGAGAAGATTTAGGAAGAGCATCGGGTGTCGACGAAGCAACTTTAAAGTAAGTAATCATTTATTTGTTACTTGAAAAATATTACACGTAAAATATTATGTAATGCAAAATATTCACAATAAAAGATTTGTAATTTTTAATTTTTATGTTATTTGATATAAATATATATTTCTCTTATTAGATCTTTGTATAAAAGAGATGAATAAAAGTTTAATGCGTAATAATTGTTTTTCAAATAATTATTTTAAACGCTACTATAATTTGAATGTACTTTGAATGTTACAGATCAACTTGTGAACAACTCCGCTGCTGCGAATCGTGCCGGTAAGTCTCAATTTGTTTTATTTTAATATTATTAAAAGAATAGATTTAAAAATAATGTAAAATATACACAATTTCACAGACTAACCGTATTACTTGTTAGTAGATTTTTGAAATTTCTCATATGATAAGAATATAAAAATCAATAGGCAATGTGTCTGAACGCATAAATTTTTGACAATTTCGACAATCTTACAAAACTATTATAGCCTCGACATTTTAATATAAAGATTTTCGTCTCCAAATGATTTAAGAAATCTGCTAACCAGTGATATGATTGGCGTGAAACGCACTCTGTATTAATATTGAATAAAGTATAAAAAATGTATATATTATAATTAATGCATGTTTTCATATTTGAAAATTATTTTCAAATATGTTTTAATACGTTTTAATTTTGCTAAATGCTTATCCTGAGGTGTGGAAAAATGAACTTTATTTAACATTATAAATTTAATGTTACGGCACAGGATGCTAATATACTAATTAAGTTCTAGATCTATAGCATACACAGTGAACAGGTCAAAAATTAGTACTTTATATCAATGGCACAGGTTAATTAATTAATTGAGAAAATGATCAATTTAATAATTAATGAATCGAAATTCGATTGAGTCGATAACGATGAAGAGATACGATGTACACGAGTATTATATGCAAATTGCATATAATTAAACGAACTAACACACGAGTCATCAAAATTTGCAAAAGTATAACATTATTCACTCACACATGAGTGAATCACATTATGTCATTGATGAAAAAATTCCATTTGAAGAACATTCAACATTCATCGAAATACCGCGTTTTACATTAATGCAAAGATATTTTTCATTTCCAATAATGAATATGATGTGTATTAATATTATGCTAGATTATTCCTTGTCGGAATGATTCGCATTGATCGCATTGATAAATTGTGATTAATATGTTAGATAAGCGTGCATTAAACAAAATCCTTCGCTTTTATAAAAAAAATGTATTCAAATTATGCTATTTCTATGAATAATTTTAATATTCGAATATTCAGTTCGAAGTTTCACGATAAACGACACACTGCACCGTAGCGAAACGAATGGATTAGCTTCTATTCTCGCGTGCGAACGTTGTGTACGATGTAAAAAAAAAGGAAAGGTGCATACGCGTACGGAATACACGTGCCGGCTGGGTATATGGAACTCATCGTTCCCAAGCTATTTCGCAAGTCCGCCCAATCGTAGAACTATTTTGTTGTACGTGGCTTGGTTCAGAATGAAATTTTCTTTACTCCAGCGCTTGTCAAAATGCTCAAAATTGTTAAAAGAGGGTTACGCTAAGGCGACAACGATATTTGTGAAAGAACGATATTTGCTATTTCTTGAGAGTCTTTACGAAACGTGTTACAAAAAACTTTGCATGGAAATCTTGTCACTAATATCTTGTCGAAATTTTATTACTTTGATATTTTCATATTTTTTGAACTTGCGAATCGCGTTGCGTAAAAGAAACGGTGTTGAAATCTTGTTACGGAATAATTTTTTGATATTTTATTATTTCGATATTTTAATATTTTTTAACATGTACATTGTGTAATTAACCGGAAACCTCGATTGCAGCACGCAGGATTCATCTATCGGAATTGTTAGCGAATAGAGCGCCCGTATCGAGATTGTAACACCAGTCGGCATATGTTATTTTGGTCGCAGCGTAAATATTATTTTTCGTTCAGAATTCGAGGTAGGAGAATATTTTGGAAAAAAAGAGCGCTACGCAAAATTTATTCGGCAGTATTGCGAATCTGAAGTGTTTTCTTTATGCAAACGTGGGCGAAATAGCTTTCGGGGAACGAGGCTGTTTGAAGAGAGAGAGAGAGAACACTCTTCGACGATGAAGAAATGAAGCAGTTATTAATAAGGGCGCGTTGAAAAGGAGAGTGTAGTATCAAAAACCCTTCAAACATGCAAGCTACTTTGCGACAGGCGGATATTTCCAAGGGGAATTTGCAGGGCAGTCGCGAAGGGACGAGAGGGAGAACACGACGACGACGACGGAGCGGGCCGAGGTCGGAGGTGATACGAATTGATTCGTAGGGAGACGAATGAAAGCTCGTCGAGGCCCCGTGAAAAGGATGAAGCGCAAACTTTTCAACGACCTGGTGCGGAGGGCGCGATTTCTTTCCCATCGAGCTTCCTCCTCCTTTTCCTTCTTCACGGTCGTCCCAACTCTTTTGCGCGAACGATGCTTCCGGATAGACTCCCTGAAAAGGGCAACGGTATTTTCTGACTTTTCTCCCGCGCTACCTGCATATTAAAATCTCGTTAACGCTGTCGCTCAAAATTATCTTATGCCTCCCGTTTTTTCTTCCCACCGACTTTAAATGCGTAGCCGACGGGTAAGCTGTAATCGATGCTAGAAAAGAAAAGCAGCCCGCACTCTTCTTCGTCGTTTAACAAGCGTGTGAAATGTGAATTCATAGAGAATTGGTAGAATCGCGACGACAGAATATACGTGGAACTATTAAAAAGTCATGATTATTCTTTTAGCAATCGTAATTAAAAGTTGCAGAGTATTAATTCTGCCATTGGAAAGTGCCTCGCATTTAAGCAGCGCTCATAAAAATCTGGGCTAATTCTTCATTGAAAATGTATGTAAAGTCGTCATGTATATTTCATAGACTTGTTAGCGGGAGATGCATAAAATGCTTTCTAATTAACAGCATGTTTGATTCATTACAGCGAGTATTTTTATTAAATTACTACGCAAATACCGCCGAAAATTTTCACTAATGCAAATATCGCACAAATTTTCGCTATCTACACCGTTACACCGTTAGCGCGGATATTAAACGGTACACATATTATGCGGGATATCTCACCGAAAACCGCTGCTCGTTACGATCCGTCGTAGGGCTGCTTGTCAATTGATAAGGGCCGCTAATCAAAATTAATGCAGCCGTCGTTAACGACGACGGTGTCGAACTTTCTCCGAGGTCCATTCGTCTCTTTCGAGGATCGGACTTGGCCAGGTATAGGAAACCCCGGGAATCCAACGACCTTACCGCGGGAATATCTAGACGTTTGTCAAACGTTTTCTTGCCGCGACTTGTCGGAATCGGCCCCGACAAATTGGCTGTCGCGACAAAAAGCGAAACCGAGCTTTCGGCGTGTCTGTATATGTTCCACGTTGGTCGGTTGTTACGGAGAAGCGAATCCCTTTCGTCGCTTTTTGCCGGGGCCGGTAAACTCTCGCGGCAGCTCGCGCGCAAGATTTCTCTATTACGCGTAATGAAACGACGCGCGGTTACGTCCGAAAACACGACGGCGGGACGGCTAAACGGGATAATTCATAGCGGCCGCGGAGAATGGACGAGTACCGGCTGTTTTGATACGAAACGGTGGAAAGCTCGTCGAGGAGTTAAATTATATATACGCAATTATAGTCGCAATTATTCTCTCTTGTGACGTTGGCAAATATTTTGGCGACCTGGTTTTCAGAAAGATATTTCGATAAAAGAACGCTGTTCAAAAATGCAGATTAATGAAATATTAAATAACAAAAAATTGCTATGGAAGAAATTTATATAGAAGCATTCAATTAATAAAAAAAAATATTCTCTATAAATTTATGAAAGTTTATTAGTGATTATTTAACTTCTTAATGCATGTATATATGTATTTAAGTACCTGTTTTTATCGGTTATTTTTTTATGTCTCTTAAATTTTTGTTAAAAGAGTATTAATTGTGAAAAATCGATGATAGCTGTGTAGATGTACATAAATATTATTTTCTGATTTACAAATTCAAAATTTACTTGTAACTCAATTATTAGAAATATTTTTTCT